GACATCCGCCCGTTCCACACTCAGCCGTGTCTCTCCGTAGAAACACGTGCCTACACAGACCACTTTTTTTATAGGGTAAATAAATACAAGGAGAATTCGGTTCTGTGTATTCAACAACATGATTGGATAGCATACGAAGCATTGAAGAAATTAAAAAATAATTACAAAAGATGTTACAATCATTGCACTCAGGGTATTGGTCAGTTCTAAGGAAAATAAAATTTGATTTTTTTAAAGGAAGTAAGTTAATTTATTGCTTAATAATTTATATAATAGTTTGTCGAACTAATTTACTGTTTAAACTCTAAGTTTAAAAAAATACTTGATAGTATTTCGGTACGCTAATAATGAATCTTATAAATATTTAAGAACGAATTTACATGGCTGACTAAATTACAAATACTTGAAGATATTTCAAATAAGTCGGATAATATTTTCTGACATGCAATGCTCAATGCATAGTGGTAATATTTTGCAAGCCCAACGTGCTAATGAAAATACACAATTTTATATTGCGAGTCATGCTCTATGTTGCACCTGAACTTTTATCAGGCAAACAGCAGTTTACACAAGCAGCAGATATTCATGGATTTGGAATTATTTATGATGAATTGTTAACTAGACAAAGGCCTTTTGATGAGCGTAAATTTGATATTGATCTGCAATCAAGATTTGCAAAGGATTATGGACAGAGTTTGCTCCTGAAACTCCGACTGTCATGTTCAATTGGCAAAGAAATGTATGAGTTCAGAGCCAAATGCTCGGAAAATTAATATCGTAATTGTTAACTGGATTTGAAAGATAGCTTCAGATTAAATGTTGATAAAACTATTGAAAAGTCACCAATAATTGTTCAAAATCATCCTGACCATATATACACTAGTAAAATCATTAGCACATATAAAAATATCAAAGGTCTTATTTAACAAATTATTTGAACATAAACATTACATTATGTGTATCACATAAACAATTTCTTTAGTAATGTCCTTTACCACTGTTAAAATATTTGATATTTATCAAACAACAGATAAATTCTTAGATTTATTACAAATGCTAAACATATGGGCTGCCGTCAATAGAAATCAGGCAGATTGACATTTTAAAAAAAATCCATACCTCAGCTTTCACAGCTCATAATTCGATGAATTTTGAAGCTATCTTGATGATTTAATATTCAAGAGAAAGCTTAGAACATAATATTATTAAATCATCAAATCTAGCTTCAAAATTCATCGAGATATTAGTTTTAAACGTTGAGGTATAGATTTTTTTAAAATGTCGATCTGCCTGATTTCTATTGACGCAGCCCATATATTCAATTAAAGTGGGATAATTTTTTGATATCGAAATAAAGAGCACATTTTTGACTGTTGCTAAACAATTTTTACTTAAATATACGATCCTAATATTGCTAATTAAAATTCTTAATAATTATAAAAAGTTTTTATAGAGCACTAGAATACTTTGATAACCCTTCTTGTCATGCAAAAAAATGCTTCATATAACAATTACAATCACATATTCTTTAGCATATTTGCATAGCATAGACATCTAGATCGTGCATTTTTGAATCTATTATATAAATACAAAAATAAAATAAAATAAAATAAATAATTAATTATATACTTTTAACATTTTAATAAACTTCAAGAATTACCTCTGAATTTAGCTGATTCATATGCTATCTTAATCTCCTTAGTGTTTATTAATCTACTAGTATACATTGAACTTTGATAATTCGGTATGGCAATTTGTGCTGTTTTGATTTCTTCATTAGCAGAAATAAAACACCTTTTAATAAAAGATATTGAGGGATTCGCCATAATCATGCGCCATTCTGAAAGTTTTGAGCTAATATCTTTAGCACTAGGTCGGTTATTTGGATCAGAATCCATACATTGCTTGGCTAATTTAATATAACATTCAGGTGTTTTTTCGGAAAATTCAGGTCGTAATCCTCTACAAATATCCAACGCAAGTCTAAAGTCGAACTGATAGCCATGAAAAGGTCTTTGTCCAGTTGACAATTCTGTCATAATAACGCCCATACTATATATATCAGCTGCTTTTGTATATTGTTCACCTAATAAAATTTCTGGTGCAATATATGGCATAACTCCATAAACTTCACCTTTTGAAGCTGATTCTTTTAAATTCTTAGATAATCCTAGATCAGTAATAAAAGACTTTATAAAAATACTTTTACGTGAATCTAGCAAAACATTTCCACTATGAAAATCACAATGAACATATTCTGATTCATGAATTTTGGCCAAATCATTTGATATATCTATAAGGCACGTCAATTTGCTTTTCCAATCGAGTCTTTTAAAATTTGATACTAAAAAATCATACAGATTTCCCCTGTCGGCATACTGAAATACCATAAGGTATGTCTGAGTTTCTACGTCCTGAGTTATTCCATATATCTCAAGTCCGAGACCATTTAATCTACATTGGACGTAATTTTCGAACTTATTTAATTGGAAATATATTTATTGTCAGAATAGTAGTACATATAATATATATATATTATAACACTTTGTAAAAGCTGTGATTTTATGTGATTTAAAAATCAAATTAAATGGATTTAGGTAGTCTATACTCTGCAATAGCGTGATAAAAATGAGTGGTATCTTAATCCTTTCAAATTTTATGCTTATGAGATATCAAAAAAAAACTAAAGAGCAATGTTGTTCTTCATAACTAAGCCTAGAAAAGTATCAATCTATACCCAGAGGTGATGTAGTAAATTTATAGAATTTACTATTTTAAAAATCAATACGTGATTGTCAAGCATAGACTACTTAAACCATATACTGTTTAAAAAATATAATTTTTGATCTTATATTTTTTCATTATCACAAAAATCATACATATTTTTTTGCAAAGTGCTTCAATAAAGCATTAAACTTACTTCTTTTAAAACGCTAAGAGTTTTAAGCGCGACTTTGCATGATTGTTCACGTGCTTGTAAATTATTTTTAATTATTGGCTTGCCATCTGACCAGATTGCAGAAAATATTGTACCAAATCCACCTTTACCAATGATTTCAAGGTTAGCTAACCTATTAAATGGAATCCATTCAATCAAATCCTCATATTTTGTAGTTTTAATCTGAAGACCTTTTACATAGTCATCGATTTCTTTATTTCCACTAGTCCAACTTCTACTTATTCTCTGCGGATCACATAATTGACACCAAGTTTTCGAAGTATTATGTTGGCCACAAGTTACACATGCATTCAAAAATTTACATTTTACCAAATCATTATATGAGTCTTCATATCTATTCATCATGCGATAAACGGCTCCACGGTTTCTTAATGCAAATTCATTATTTGGTTAAATTTCTAATAATTTACTTAAATCTGTAACTGATTCTTTATATCTATTCATCATGCGATAAGCAGCTCCGCGGTTTCTTAATGCAAATTCATTATTTGGTTCAATTTCTAACGATTTACTTAAATCCGTAACTGATTCCTTATATTTATTCATCATGCGATAAATTGCTCCACGGCTTCTTAATGTAATTTCATTATTTGGTTCATTTTTTAATGATTTATTTAAATCTTCGAGTATTTTTTCACGAATACTTAATATTTCTGCATTATTTGGTTCAATTTCTAATAATTTATTTAAGTCTGCAAGTGATTTTTCGTATCTTTTCATCATGCGATAAATTTCTCCACGAATTCTTAATACGAATGTATTATTCGATTCTTTTTCTAATAATTTGCTTAAAATTTCAAGTGTTTTTTCAAGAATTATTAATACAAATGCATTAATCGGTTCTATTTCATTTAAATCTTCAAGCGTTTTTCCAAAAATTCTTAATGTTTCTGTATTATTTGGTTCAATTTTTAATGACTTATTTAAATCTGCAAGTGATTCTTCATATCTTTTAATCGTGCGATAAGCTTCTCCACGAATTCCTAATATATATACATTATTCGATTCGATTCTTAGTTCTTCAAGAATTCTTAATGCAAATTCATTATTTGGTTCAATTTCTAATGATTTACTTAAATCTGTAATTGATTCCTCATATCTATTCATAGTGCGATAGATTGCTCCACGGTTTCTTAATGAAAATGCATTATTTGGTTCAATTGCTAATAATTCATTTAAGTTTTCGAGTATTTCTTTAAGAATTCTTAATGCTTCTGCATCATTTGGTTCAATTTCTAAAGATTTATTTAAATCAACAAGTGATTCCTCATATCTATACATAATATGATAAACATCTCCACGTATTTTCAATGCAAATGCATTATATGGTTCAATTTCTAATGACTTATTAAAATCTGTAAGTGATTCTTCATATCTCCTCATCATATAATAAGTTGCTCCACGACATCTTAATGCAAATGCATTATTTGGTGCAATTTTTAATAATTTATTTAAATCTGCAAGTGATTCTTCGTATCTATTCAACATGCGATAAGTTTCTCCACGGTATCTTAACGCAAATGAATCATTTGGTTTATTTTCTAACAACTTATTAAAATCTGCAAGTGATTCTTCATATCTATTCATCATGTAATAAGTTGCTCCACGACATCTTAATGCATATGCATTATTTGGCACAATTTCTAATGATTTATTTAAATTTGCAAGTGATTCTTCGTATCTATTCAACATGCAATAAGTTTCTCCACGGTATCTTAACGTAAATGAATTATTTGGTTCAATTTCTAATGACTTATTAAAATCTGCAAGTGATTCTTCATATCTCTTCATCAAATAATAAGTTTCTCCACGATTTCCTAATACATTTGCATTATTTGGTTCAATTTTTAACAATTTATTTAAATTTGCAATTGATTCCTCATGTCTATTCATTATGTGGTAAATTTCTTCACTGATTCTGATAATAAATTCTAAATAAATACAATTATTTGGATTAGTTACATATATTGTATAAATTTAGATTCATAAGTCAACATTATATAGATATTTATCAAAATCCAACACCCTAACACTGACAATGCTTGCTGGAAAAACCTGGGCAATCACAAACCCCCAAAACAATTGCCGTTTATTAAAATTTAAATCAAAAAACAATTTAAATATGCTGCAAAAAATATTATAACTATAAGACGTGTACTACTTGTTTAAATAAATATTAATAATAAGTATTGAAATATTAATTTGGGCAAAGTTTGGAATTTGGGATGGACAACTCAAACTATAATAGTTTGGGATTAGCTTTTAGAGCTGCAAGCATAATCTAGCTGACAAAAAAATACGCCAACTCATAATTCTGCAGCCAAAAAACCACAAAATTTTTAACTTCTGAGTATTGCATCAGAAAATGTACCATAAGATTTAAAGTCAGGAAAATTTGATAATTATGATTAAGTTGTCGGAATTATGACTTCCATGCCTATGTACAGATGTAGCGGTTGGAATTTTGATATTTGAATTCTGGTCCAATGGGAGGCAGTTGTCGTAGTCACATATGAACGACTGTAAATCGATTACTGAATTTTCACAACCTTGAAAACTGAATTATGTAACAGCTAGTTGTTCTAGACGTTTAAACAACATGATAAAATTAAAGATGAAGAGAGTAAAAATTTATAATAGAATCGTTATAAGCGGAGTTATCAAGGTAACTAGAATGAATGGGGCAGAGTTTAATATAGTGAAAATTCATTAATAATTTACAGGTTTTTCTCCCCTTATCATTTAGACTTGGTACCATCATATTGTCATGACAATTACTATACCTGATGATGTTTCACTTGTTTCAGTACAATTACAACTTAAAGAGAAGATGAGTCAACTCATTTGAAAGCTTATTGTATTTAAGTGTATTTACCCGTAAATAGCTGTTACTATGTACAGTATATCGTGTTATTTTAATACAAAAGATCGTCAAAACAATTTCTTAATATTTTAAAAAGAAGGAAATCCCGTTTAGTTGTTTGTTTTTGGGTGTTTTCCTATTTCATTTTAAGCCGTCCTATTTTAATTTGATATCTTATGTTTTTGTAATTTTTGTATTACATCGTGATCCGCCGCATTATTTATTTTATCCGATAAGGACACTGAATTGTATTTTACATACGTACGTACGTTGTAAAAGTGGCAAATGATCAGGAATCACAAAATATGTGCAATACGGATATCAACTACCACTAAAACTAATCTAAACAATACTCTAAACTACCGAACTCTATCAACCCTAATGGTGGAAGGCACGATCGAGGCGTGGAAGAACTTGGTCCGAGTTATTAGGGTCAAATAGAGCTCTGGATTACATCACGAGGCTCTACTTCGGGATCACGGGTTTAGACTACTAACTCTATGCGAATTTCACTTATCGGAGGGGGTAATTGGAGCGAAACTTTAAAGTCAGAATACTTGACTCTATGAGTCTAACTCTAAGGAGTTCTACAGACGTTTTCTACTTAACTCACTGACTGACTTTATTATAGATGCCAAAGGCATCATATTTATAGTTTCTATGCTACATAGTGGCTATGTTCGCTATGCTATATTCGCGTTGATCACTATGTACGAAATGTACATGGTTTCTATGTACAAAATGTACATGGTTTCTATGTACAAAATGTACATGATTTCTATGTACAAAATGTACATAGCTTCTAAACCTAATATGCATCTGATCTACTATGTGCGAAAAAATTTATTCCAAGTCACGATTTACCCTTTTACAACGTACGTACGCTCTAGCAGTTATGTCTATACATGGATGTCTAAATTATTTTGCCATTGTCGTAAATTTAAATGGCTAAATTATTTTAGATTGTCTAAATCATAAATAATATAGAGTGTCGAAAATAATTTAGGCTGCAAAAATTATTTTAGTAGGCCGAATATATTTTAGATTGTCTAAAATATTTTAGGATGTCTAAAATATTTGCGCCATTCCAAAATATTTAGAATGGCGAAAATTAATTATATTGATATTTTAGAATATAAAACTGATCTTTAGATCAAATAGTTTTAAGAATTGATTGTTAAGTAGAGCTTTGATCCTATTTTTTCAGGACTATCCGGATTGAGTTCGGATTCTCTTTCATGAATCCGGTTATAATTCGAATTGAGTAAATTCGAATTTGATTCGAACTCAATCCGGAAAAATCATTGATCAACCAATAAAAGTTGCGAATTTTGAAGCTGGTAAAAAAATTTAATTTAATTTTATCATTATTACCAGATATTAGATCTGTTATTAAACGACGGGTTAGATTTTAACATCTCCATTACCATACCCTGCAAGATAAAGGTGAATAATCAGCGTTTCCAAAAATAAGACAGCAGTCATGTGAGTTTTAGCCAATCATCGGTATAACAATAATTACAGTAAATACAGTAAATGAAGCAAAAAAAATCATTATAACAGCTCTTTATGGATGAAAAAGTTTATATTTCAAAATCTCTATGGTTAGTAGAGTTCTAATCCGGATAAATTCATCTCCGTATCTGAATTATCTGAATAATTTGGATCGCTCAGATATCCAGATAATCTGAAAGATATTCGTAACCAAATATCTGAATAAATTCAGATCCGGACTGTATAAGATCATTCTAACAGCTCATTATGATTATTGTTAGGATGAGAAAGTTATCATTCTAGCAGCTCTTTATGGTTAGTGTTAGGATGAGAAAGTTTGTATATAAAATTATTTATGATTAGTATTAGGATAAGAAGGTTTGTATTATATAACAGCTCTTTATAATTAGTGTTAGGATGAGAAAGTTTATATTATAAAAATCACTCTAACAGCTCTTTATGGTTAGTGTTGGGATGAAAAAATTCATGTTATAAAATAATTCTAACAGCTCTTTAAAGTTAGAATTTAATAATTTGATTATGGATGTTTGTACTATATATAAAATTTTATAAAATATATATATATATACATATATTGCTGATATGCCCATCTTTTCAATAATATATCTAATTCATATAATTCACATTTGCAATATTAATTATTCAATATGGTACTTAAAATAATCTTTATATTAATCTTTAACTTAACACTAAAAATAGAAACATACGCTGATGCAATATAATACAATATTTATTAATTATTGCTGTTTTGTTGATTTTTCTTTTGGTGATAGACTTTTGGTGTGTGAACTAAACGCATCTCTATAATTGTTTTGTCTGTTTTGCCTTCATTATTATATCCATAATATGCATTTCAATTTGATGTATAAAAGAACTGTGTTACAGACAGAAGCATTGAAGATCAAAATTTTTAATATATAGATATTTATTTTTTATCTTATTTTTTTTAAAAAAAAATTTTAAATTACCAGTAGGGTGGCTATACCACAAAAAGCGGTCTATGGTTATGTGTAGTATAGTCATTCATATTAAATCCCATATTCTGTCTATTAGCATCGACCAATCTGAACTATAACAGATATGTGTTAATCTAGTAAGGATTGTGATCCAAATAATCCTCATCCTCAATTCGCATTTAGTTGATGAAACACATGATAGAAGTTTTCGTTAAAAAAGAAATTTTATAAATGCACTGTATATACTGAAATAAGAGATCATTGTAGCTGGGTAATGTGCCATCAACCTGGCATGCATTCAAGAATTGCACTAAACAACAATAGTGAATAAGCTCCATGCAATGGCATAGCTTCTTCAAAATGTGCCATAAAAATATAAACTAATTTCAATTAATAGTAATACTGAAATTCAAGAATTCTATCTTACTATTATTTAAACTTTCCAGTACTACTTTATTTGCATATCTTACATTTATATATAATATCTAATTTAATAATATTATTATTATTGGCAGTCTATAATAATATTGACAGCCATAATAGTTTAAACAGTCATAATAATTTAGATAGCCTATAATAATTTAAATAGTCTATAATTATATCAATAACCAAAAAAAATTTAGACATATAACATTTTGAAATACTGTGGCAAAAATACTAAAAAAATTTTGCCATACCGTCTGCTGTAAATCACCCCTATTTTAGACACCCATATATAGTTATGTCCCCATATCGAACTCATGTTAAAATAGTTAAAATATGATGTTTGAAGATCGATTATTGGATTCAACTCAAGTGTTATTATCATAGTTTAGTTGTATGAAATTTCTGTCTATACTAAATCTCAAACAAGGATATTTATCATGATGCCAATTATTGTTATGTAGATTAAAATTTTGATTTTATAAGTATGTTGAAATCACTAAACCTGATTTTGCAGATCATTTGCAAATCAAATTAGGAGAAACTAGTTTTGGAGAGTTTCAGACTTATAGGGTGAAACTAAAATTTCTCTGGGCAAATCTTTTCAGGCTTTGGGGAAGGTTTAGGCCGAAACACTTGTTGCGATATCTGAAATGAGCTGCATAACAATTGGGTCACCAACCAACAAAATTGGGGATAAAATACAAAAGAGGCATGTTAGATTTGGATGAGTAGTTAGTAAACAAATGTAGCTTTATACTATGTGAGACTTAGGCCTTTTATTATTTTGGATAAAGCCAGAATTGCCCTATACAGAAGGCCAAGAGACCTTTATTTATAACTAATTCAATATTTATTATTACAAAGAGAATACACCTTTTAACTAGAATTACCCTTAGTACTATAATTATTAGGATTTACCACATTCCCTCTATCTGCCTAATTTTTCATATTTTCCAAATTCTCTAATTGGGGTGTTGCATGCTAAATGATTTACTATCATAGTACAGCACTATATGATTGGCATACTAAGTAAGATTTTTAAAATTTGTCTTTATTAAGAAAATTTATTATAGTACTTTTATAATAAAAACTATGTATTTTTAAAATTTTATAACTCTTTTTCTAGTAAAGCAAATTCAATTCTGTAACTTGCAAATAATATAAAAATAGTGTAGCTTTAAAACTATGTTGAGATATTTTTAATTAATTTTATTAATTTGGTTAAATTTATAAATTTAATAAATTTTGATAGTTACTTAACAATTAAGTAATAGAGACCTACTAAAATTTTTATATTAATATTAAATATGACAATATAGTTTTAAATCCATGCTATTTTTATATCATTTGTAAGTTACAAAATCGAATTTGCTTTACTATAAAGAGAGTTATTGCATTTTTTTAATATTATTTAAATGATTAGATTATAGAGACCTACTAAAATTTTATATTAATATTATTGCGGTTTGCATAATTTTGTGACCCCTATAATTAATTTTTTTTATAATTAAATGATTGTAATTGTGATCACAATTGCCAAGGCTGGCCAACTTATCATGAATCTGAGTTTGTGTCAAGCTCTGATTTATGAAAAATTGGCTGGCTTTGGCAATTGTGATCGCAATCAAAATCATTTAATCATAAAAAAAATTAATTATAGGGGTTACAAAATTATACAAACTGCAATAAATATAGCAACTTAGTTTTAAAACAACATTAATTTTATATTATTCACAAGTTATAGAATAGAATTTTCTTTACAAGAAAGGAGATTATATCTTTTTTGAAAATATATAGTTTTTTAAAAAAACACTAAAATAACACACATTTTGATCGACAAAATTTTATGCAGTAATTGGTTGTTTATTTGTGATTTTATTAGACAACTATAGATCATGTGTTAAATGTGATCAAAGCATGTAAAAAACTACATAAAATATGATAATTATGATGATTATTGCCAATATTACAATTATAGTTTGTATAATAGAATTCAAAAAGAAAATTTTAACAATAAAAATGATTTGTAATCATTGTTGAAATTTCTTTTTCAAATTCTACTACCAACTATAATCACAATAATGCAAA